AGAGAGACAGAGAGAGGGAGAAAGTGGACTTCGCATAAACTACACCCACAGTTTTCAGGAAATCTGAACTTATTCTAACTCTGGAAGAACACTCACCGATGGTCGTGACGGATGTCTCCTCGAGAGTTTGTTGGGCCACAGCGAGCACAAGTGGGACTCCTGCTTCCCACTTCTTCCTGTCGCCACCAGATGATGGTCTATCTTGTGGGGACAGTGAAGTGGCTAAAGAGTGAATGATGCAGGGAAAAGTGAGCATAATTGCCTCTGAAAGCATGAAACAGCAGAAATACTTTTGCACTTTTTTGCCAAAGTGCCAAAGTATTGCTACTAGCATGTAATTCAAAGTATGACACATAAAACAGTAACAATATAGTGTAATATTTTAAATCTGTATTCAGTGGGACTTAAAAGTTTCACCTTGTGAGGGCTCGACTTACTGGTTGTTGTGGCACCCGTGTCCTTCAAGGTTTGCTGAGCCACAGGAAGTTCAGGCAGTTCTGCTGCTTCCCACTTCTTACGGTCTCCATTGGAAGAAGGGCGTTTCTCTGTTTCAGACTGGGTCTGATGGGGAACAGGACCTGGTTCTGCAGGGGCTGGAAGCGACTCTTCAACCTCCTCCATCGGGGTCTGGGTTTTCAGGTTCTGGTTAAGTCTGCACAGAATCTTCTTTTTCTCACTCTGTTAGAGGGATAACAATAAATAACAGGATCTTTTAATGAAAAATGTAAACATTGAGAGCATAGATTTGTCCATTTGCCTGCTCATTGTTACACTGTTGAATGATTTCTAACAACTAATCAGCTCACCTGAATCACAGCGGAAGTCTCTGGTTGAGGCAAGCTTTCTTTAAGTGGAGTAATCTGCCAAACACAAAATGTAAATGTCACACAGTTAGGGAATAAATACTCAAACAGTACTGTGACATAGGGTGTGATACAGGTTGTAAATATATACTGACTGCTCCAACATTCTTCAGGGCAGCAGTCATGGATATAGCAGGAGTGGAGGCTTTGGATGCAGGCAGGGCTGAAACTTTGGCAGCTGTGTCTGGCTGAGAGGAGCTGGGCTGTGGAGGAGGACTGTCAGAGGTAGATGATACTGCTACTGCTGCCACCGCTGCTATGCTTCCAGCTGAAAGGCCGACCTTCACCCCCCGAGCAGCAAGCTTTCACAATGCATAATAGCCAAGATTAGACTATACGTAAACTAATGCGCCAGTAAGGCCAGGTAATAGTTTTGCCTAAAGACTGTTAGGGTAGAACAAAGAATAAAAGCTTACATGGTCTTCCCAAGCTCTCTTTTCTCTCTCGTGTGCTTCTTTCCTCTTCTTCTCCAGTTGTTCTTTCAGTACAGCAGCACGGGCATTTGCTTGAGCCTGGCACGTACATACATACACACAAATAAAAAAGAATGAAGGCATGAGCAAACATGTGCTGACAATCAAAATAAGAGCTCCAAGTAAAAAGTTTTGTGATAAGGAAAGTGGTTTGTTTAAATTTCTCATGCTGGTTGAACATTTAGTTTGGGCTGAGTGATTTGGGGAATCTATCCAAATGTGATTGCTCTGACAGATAGCGTGATTTGATTCGCAACATAACTTTTTAAAAGTCAAGCCCCAGTTCAATATTTGCTGTCTAACAGATTTAAAACATGTGATGGAGATTTACCACATGAGATACAATCAAAAGCATGACTGTGAGACAAGGAGGACGGCATGAAATTGTAACAGTTTAAACTTGGGTCAGATGTGCTGCAAAATGTACAAGGTGTGGCTATTAAATAATGAAACTGCGTTTATGTCAGTGTATCCACAGCGAGCACGCCTATTCCATGTAGTATACATTGATCAATGAGCAAATGTGAACAATCCCTGAAAGTTTCAATCTGATTTAATTCATTTCATTAAATTACAGAATCAGTCCTACTATTTAATAGCCACAGCTCGTATAATTTGAAATGCACCACTTGTGGTTTGTCAGTTGCATCGTTACAAATTGCAAGTTTGATTTGAAATCAATTACTTATTAAGCCCTACACCTCTGACATTCTAATCCTAATTAACGAACCAAGCAAGCCACAGGCGGAGGCAGGCAGGAAGGCCACGTCTTACATTGACTGACAACATCTCTCTCTTTGGCTGTCGTTTGATTTAATGAAAAGAGTGTCATAATGAAGGTTATCACATAAATGTTGCATATTCAAAAATGGAATTGCTTTGTACTCTGTGTAGACTCACTTTTAAAGCCTCTATCTTCTTTCTCCTGAGCTCTGCCTCCTCACTGGACTCCTGGCTGTCAGAACCATCGCTGTCATACTGAAACACACACCAACAACGGCACAGAGACAGAATGTCAGAAAGAACTGAAAGCACTTTCATTACAGGCAATCTCAGATTCTGAGAGTGGAAGAATGTACCTTCTCTCCCCTCAGTCGGGCTTTGATCTGCTGACGCTCATTGAAGTTCTGCAAGCGGATCTGCCTCAGTCTTGCCAAGTACTCCTGAGAACAAACACAGAAATGTTACATACTGAATGGTGAACTGCTGAACATCCTTGTGCAGACACAGAGGGTAGAGTATAGCAATGATATAGGCAGGCGTACTCGTGGAAAAAAACAACACATGCTTAGTTCGCATTTATAAACAAAGTGTAACATAACGAAACATAACATGATGTCAGCATTAATACATCAACACATTAACACATCAGCTATTCAAACAGCACAAAAAATGAACATTTGTAAATAACAGTGCCATGAAAAATGAATTCAAGTATGTATTCCATCCAAAGCAAAAAAAACAAAAAACAAAAACCTGTAACACAACTCAAAACTGAGAAGGTTATTGGGGGGATAGCAGCCATTACTGGGATAAATAAACAGCTCAAACGGGACAGTGAAACACCACACATTATGCAGGGAGAGGGCATGACCTGCTGGACTGAGGTATGGGTGTGTCAGGGGGAGTTTTGTGCAGACATATGAGACGTGCTATGAGTGAGGCATTCAGACCCGGGCTCCTACCTCCTCCTCTTTGTTGGCTTTAGTTCTCCTGCACCGAAGCCCACCAGCCCGGTTTCCAAAGATTGCAGTCAGGTTTTGCCGAGCGCCCTGTTTACCGTTCAATTTAACCACACTTTAGAAGGACGCAGGCCCTTGCATCTAACTGTCACAATGATCACCAGCTGGGGCCAGAATATAATTAAAACTGCATTATCAATATTTTTTATACTTATGCCGAGTCAAATGGCCACATGCAAAGCCACATGTGATGTCAGACTATCAGATCCAGTTATTTTGGCTGATCAGACTGCTGCTCAAGCTGTTGTCTGATCAGCATCTGTGAGGTCACTACATCTGGTAAACTAATCAGGACAATAAATCCATATTTTTCTGACCCAAACAGGTGCACCAAAGCTAACAGTAGAAACAGGGGAGTCAATTAAGTGTTTGGTACAAATCAAAGCAGACCTGAGGCAGGGTTGAATCATCCAGAATATGTGAATTCTCCTATTGGATGTGCAGCCTATAGCACATTTCTACCACTGGAGGGCAGAAGACTCCAAAACAGACAACAGTTCACTTGGCCTATTTGATGGATTCACGAGTTAGCAAACAGAAACACAACAAAATGGACATTACATTTGATCTGTCCAACAATGTAGCCAGTGGGTCTCGACATCATGGACCAGCAAACCAAAATGACAAGATAAAAGTGGCAAAACGTTTGATGATTCTCAGTGGGTTTTGCAGTTACAACAGTCTATTTGGTTCAGCAATAATATTAGAAAAAAATGGAGCCTGATGGAGCTTTAAGATTCATAATATTTGCTATAAAACATCAGCTTCACTTTTCATCTCAGTCCATTTAAAATTACACCCAGTTTGCAATGAGTAACACATCTGTGTTTTAATACCCACAAAAGTACAGTATAAGTCACATTACGTACCAGCTGCCCCTCAGCTCGCACTTTGTTCAGCATTGCCTCTCTCTTCCGCTGTAAAAACTCCTCAACCTGACCGGCCCGTTCAGCTGCCATATGACTACGCTGCCTGAAAACACAATACAATAACAAATATTCTCACTGCGTTTCACACTGTGAGAAGAGCGAGCACACAGTGTTTCAATCCAGATGTTTGATTTATTGATTCACTGACCTACTAATATGAGCGTGTTTTGAAACATGCTGCAGCCTCTGAAGTTCTCTTTTGATTGCATCATGGTTTAGGCGTCGGGCGGGGCCATTGGGCAGCACTGGGCCAGCAGCAGCCGGCACACTTGTAACAGAGAGGCAACACCATTGCAACAACTATTTAACACTCCTGAACCGTCAAAAAAAGGGGGGTATGTGAATTTACCGAGATGGACTGCCTGGTCCTGCTGAGGATCCCTCCCTGCTGATGTCTTTAGACTGTGGTTTAGCCATTTGGTCCAGAGCAGCATGGTAGTGTTCATATGGGCTTTTGCTGGGGATGGGACCTGAAGTAGGACCCTGAATAGAGCCTGGGACATAAGGTCCAGCACCGGCAGCCCTCTTTCTACCTCCTACAAAGCACTGAGTTCAAAAAACACAAAAGGCTGTTGTGAGTCGATGCTGTGTAACAACTGATGCATCTTTTAATATTAATGAAATTGAAAAATAATTATTTTATTGTAAAATACTCTATGTTGAGTAACATTTTGTGTAATTAAAAAAAGAAAATGGAAATGCATTACCTTCCTCTCTGGGCTGCTACCTCCACTAGAACTCAAGACATGCTTCCAGCCTTGTTCTCTGGCTTGGTTTATTCGATTGATCTGTAAGAGATCATAGGTTCAGATGTTATTTAGTTTTAGCTGGAGGCTGCAGAGTGTTTGAATTACATGATGGTTTGCAGAGCGCAGATCAATCATCTAGCAGACGATAAAGTCAGACACAGGGCTAAGCCCTCTGGATACTGGACATGCTGTAAAATTACCCTTTCAATGCTTTTTACACTTATGGCACCAAAAAGTGAAAGAAGAGGAAAAAGAATTGTACCAACAAGGAATAAACTCACCCACCTTTTCCTTTTCACATCTCTTCATTTGTTCTGCTTTCAACAGGTATATCTGAAGGACACAGAGATCAGAAAACTATCTGCTGTGAAAAACTATGTCGAACTAATTTTATAGAGACCAAACAATATGCTCACCTGCTCTCTCTGTTTCCTTTCTTTCTCAATCAGTTCCATTCGTTTCTTTCTCATGCCATCCTGTTTAATGAGACAAAAGCACTTCAAAAACACAAAAAAAGACATCTTAAAGCAACCCGCTTTGAGGCAAGCGGCAGCAGGACTGCTCTGTCACAGGGCAGGTAGGCGAGGAGGGAAGAGGTCGGTTAAAAGAGAGAAGCGAAATCAGGCAGAACACTCCGAATGGGCCAGGAGTGGAAAACGGGTGAAGATGGAGATCAAGCGAAATGAGTGGGGGGAAAAAACGGAATATGCAGGTAAGAAGGGACCTTCATGTGTGAGTGAATGGGGAGAGAGAACAGGGAGGGGAATCTAATAGGGAATACAAGTTATACGGGGCTCTCAGCTGTACCTCAATTTTTTTCCTCTCTTCCTCCACTTGACTCACTCTCCTCTGGGGGGCTGCTGGGAGAGGGGCCTGAGCAACATATGACACTAGGGTTCAGAGGTTTCCAACACAGTATGATGTAAAAAAAACACACAAATGGGAGAGGCCTCTGTCATTGTAGACGAGGAGCTCAACACTAAACAGAGCTTTTCGACACCCACAGCAAAAAAATAAATGAATACAAATCATGACTGTAGCTCAAAAATCGTAACAACTTGTCATCAGTGTCAATGGCCTACTTACTGGTTTATGTTTTACAGCTGGTTTCCTCTCTGCCGGCTTTTTGGCTCCATCTGACACCTTCCTCACAGTTAAAGGCACTCCGTATTTGGTGGCTGGTTTTGTAATCTTCTGGGCTGGGTGAGTGTAATTGGATAAGGAGTTTTAAAACACGCAAAAACATTTTTTCTGCGTCCATATATAACAGCAGATGTCTGGTTACCACACAGAGAAATAATAAAGACTGGAAATGACTCCACTCCTCACAGTGTTGATGCAGAAGCACAGGTTGCAGTATCTATACAAATCTATACAGTAAATATGATATGGCTTGTGGGTCGTAACAGAACAGCATCACAGCACAAGGTATTTGTTGACAATGCAGGACAGGGATTTGTAGGTGGAGGCCAACAGTCCTCTACAACTCTTAATCTGTCTGTAGCTTTGTAACGCTCCTTACCTGCTACGACAAGCCCAGTCTTAAGGGTTTCAACATGCGCTTTTCCTAACTGCATTCTGCTCACATTTTCCGTTTTACTTGAAAATAGGTTGTGTCATGAAAGCTAAATGCACTGTAACTGTTGTTTAACTGGTAACTATATACAATGAATGTATCAAATGATAACATTTAAGCAATTATTGACTGATTTTGTTTTGTCTGTTTTTGTAGTTTAATAAAACACTGTGGGTCAAATCTGACCAAAATTTTTTAAAAATTGTCTAGTTTAATGACTCCTAGTAGTAGAGTGTAAAAAAAAAAGGCTTCACTGAACAGCATTGCATGATGCTACATAGAGTTTGCTTACCTGGTGGCACCTGCACCACACCCACTTTAGGCTGCTTGTGAAGAAAAGTATGGCGGAATTCCTGAGCGATGATCTGGAATAAGTAAAGAGAAAACTTCTTTTTTTTTTCACATTCTATATATAGTCATTCTATAGCTAAAAATGTCAGATTTGCATTAATTCCACACCCTCTTTATAACTTCATATATTGGATAATACTGTCAAAAGAAAACTATATTTGGCAGGCTTGTATGAGAAAAAAGCTCTATAAATCATGCTATGACTGATATGTAAAAAAAACCCCCAAAAAACCCCTTCAAAATATAGTTCGGAAGAAAGCTGAAAACTTGGTGTCTATAAAGTGGAGAGTTCTGGCTTAGAATTGCAAATAAACTGAGTTCAAGAAAATGTCCTTTAACAATCTTTGTTATAATTACAATATAGAGAAATAGACAAGGTTTGGTAAAATAAACACCTAAATTAGTATTTTGGATGCTTCTTTCCTTCAGTCTGAAAGAAGACATGTGATGACAGCAAAATATCTCAAAATCTTAAAATTGATCAAGGCATGAAAAAAATGATGTTTTGGTCCAGCTGTATTGTAGACAACTAACTGTGCATTGTACCTGTGGTGTAAGAAACTTTTCTATCCTACAGGAGAGGAAAGGTTTGTCCAGTATGCTGCTGACTGAGGGCCTCTCTCTCGGGTTGCGTTTAAACAGCTGTGCCAGGAGAGAACGCAGATCTTGGGAGTAGTGAACCGACACAGGAGGGTAGGAGCCACGTATTATCTTCAGAACTAAGTTCTTCATGTTGCCAGCCTCAAACTGAGAAGAAACGCAGATGCACACAGTAAAAGCACTGCACAGAAATTACTGCAGGCAACCATACTTGATCATAAGTATCAAGTATAGTCTGGCTGAGACTATAAATACTCACAGACTTGACTATAAGACAGAAAAAGCAACAAATTTTACAAACAGTATACAGTATATAGAGACAACATCAAACTCAGTATGTAAGAAAGCACTGCAATGCCGCATAGGATACATTAAATATGTATATGTTAGTAAACAGCTCACACACTGAATACTTACTGCATGCTTAAGAGTGCACATTTCATATAGGACACACCCTAGGGCCCAAATATCGCTGCAGAAGGAGGGAAAGTAGGGAAAACGAGGAGAGAGCACACAAATGGACAGACAGGGATAAGTTCTGGGGTAAGTTTACATTCATTCCACGAGGTATCAACAGTCATTCCAGCCTCTTACTTTTTTGTTTTAAACTGGGGGGAGAAAAAGCAGCTTCACTGCTGAGTAAACTAAACACCAAATATTGAGATGCTGCTAAATTTACTTGACTTGTTGTAATGAAAGTGGATTAGATTACATGCATACTTAAAATAGTTAAAAAGGAAATCGATACAAGCTTCCTGCTCTACATATGCACAAGCGTGTCCGCTCGATAAAAAGGACACATGATATCCTTATATCACCCTGAAGCCACCACCTAATCCTGCATGAGTCACAGTTCAGTGGGGACAAAGCTTGTCTGGTATATTAATGCTGAACACTAATTTACATCACAAATGAGACAAATATTGAAACCATAGTATTTCAGTGCATCAAGTACCTTTTGTTGTTGTATGGTTTGTTTTCGCAGATCTCTGGTGATAGGTAATATGGAGTTCCTATGCATGTTCTTGCCAGTTCCACAGTGCTGAAAATGAGAAAAACATAGGAAACAAATGATCCCAAATCGTGCCTTTGTAAAGACATGCAGATCTATTCAGGCAACATACCTGTTAAGCACCCTCGCAATTCCAAAATCTCCAAGCTGCACAGTGCCATCTTTGGTCAAAAATATATTCTAGGTAGGTGATATAAGAAGACATGTGAACAAAGCAACACATAACAAATACACAACTTATCATGACTCAAGGGAGGATTTTATGGTGCATTAAGCAATACCTGCGATTTAATGTCCCTGTGGAGGATTTTTCGATCGTGCACATGCTTCAGTGCCAAGCAAATCTGTACAAACCAATCCAGGATCTAGAAGAAAGAAATGACAGTAAAAACACTGCACAGTACACAGATATTCATTCATGCAACCTTCATTTAAACTTATACATGCAAAGGTATAAAGGCCCATTTACAATGTAGTGGAGTAAGAAAATAAACAATGTTGACACATAAATAAGAAACTTGGCCAATAAAAATATTAAAATGCAAAGTTTGTAAAATACTAAAACCTTTAATTAGAATATTTAAGTCTAAAAAACAAATGTAACAGCACTTGTTCATCAGATGTTGTACACTGTTCCAAGGAGGCCAATGGGTATATCTATAAAAGTTAGTGACTTACTTGCTCTTCTGAGAACAGAATTCCTTTCTGAGAGTTGATCTTTTTAAACAGGTCTCCACCCTCACAGTAGTCCATCACAATATACAGACAGCCAGCCTCTGAAAACAAGAGAAATTATAGTATGTAGTTTGCACACGGTATGCATCATAATAAAGTGCAATGAATGGCCTCTGGGATTTCTCACATCAATAACTAAGCTCTTTCAGTGCTGTGAGTACCTTCAAAGGATTCCTTATACTGTACAATGTTGGGATGACTCATGTTGGCAAGAACAGCAACTTCTTTCCGAGATTCCTGCCTCTCTTTACTTGACATCTAGAAAAGCAATGAACAGTGAATATAGCAGAGAAGCGCAGAAAATGATAGCTCACAGTGGCATGTGTATCTTGTGTAGATGCAGGGGAGCTTACTCCAGATATGCCAATCTCCTTGATGACATATTGGTGTCCATCCCCTTTGGATTTCACAAGGATGGCTTTCCCAAATGAGCCTTCCCCAATTTTCTTCACCTTTTCGTACTTGTCCATGTTACTGGAATGACTGTCTCCTCATGCTGTGTCTGCACAAACACATCAGCAACATGGTCAGGCTGTGCTCGACCTCACCAGGCTCGCATCAAAGGTTTACTAACAGCAGTTTCCTGACGGCAACTAGTTCATCCACTACTGTTAACTGCAGTAATCATAACTGACTGCGTGTCATCCTGTAACTATACAGTAATGCTAGCTCTAACAATGAGTGCTGTCAGACAGAAATTATATCACGCCTCAGACGAGCTGCGATGCTGAGAGCCAACGTACAGCACAACTGGTAGCTAGATAGCTAACGTCACCGTTACATCTTAGCTACACAAAGATGAAGATGAGCTCTCTGCCAATAAAATAAATGCTATGTGAATGCACGAAACTCTGAGTTGTTAATGTATCTCACTAAGTGGCGATGTTTAAATGCTGTTAGGCTAATTCTTGGCTTACCATTAGTGTTTTTTCGCTGCTTTCTCACAGAGGTTCTGGTGCTGGCTACCGCCCTCGCGCTCTCTATCTAACTACAGCTATCGTTTCCTGCATTCTGATTGGTCAGCTTTATAATTCTTGATCGCTCATTGGTTCGTACAATAGTCCATCAAGTTTCACACGCTTGAGTCTCCGCCCCCACCAGGCCGGTTGCTGTGGACATTTTCCATAGCAACCACTAACCAACCGCGAAGTAAGAAGCTTGACACCTTTTTGTTTGTTTGTTTTGACTGTATATAAAAGTTTTAGGCCAACCCAAAACACTTTACTTCACTTTATTTGCATTAATATCACGCTATTGTATTAATAACAGGCATATGGTATCCAGTGCAGCAGTGGTGCGAGACAATTCCTATAGGGATGTCATGGCTAATTTTATTTTCGGAAAATCACTCATTTTTTTGGTCACTCACTCTTATCATTTATTTGCATGTACAGACAACACTGTCATGTAGAAGTATAACATGAAGACTTAGATACAGTGTAATAGTTTTTGTTTGTTTGTTTGTTTGTTTGTTGTTGGTTTTTTTTTTTAATGTAACCCTGAATTAATTAAAAATCTATTTGCGGTTACAGTTGCTGGAGTTATGTTTTTAAGTTGCGGTTATTAAAGTTACACAAGGTAAGTACACATAAGGCACAAAAGTGTTCTTTTTCTGTTCAGGACACCCACCTATTGAGACATCAGACAGTGTCTTTTGTTTCTTTCTTCTGGCTGTAGATTCCGAGTCAGTGTTGCATTGTTCAGAAGATTCTACCACTTGTTTCCAGAATTCTTGACAGAAAGTTGTATCCCGACATTTTTTAAGAGAGCTTCAGCTATATCCACAGCTATAACTAAATCATATATACTTTAACTAATAAAAACACCCAAAACAGATATTTAAATTACATCTGAAAACAGATGTGTGAAATCTGTGAAGTGCACAAAATCAGTGTAATTTTTTTCTGGTTTGTCTACATGTTGGGTGTGCAATCCAATATTCGTACTACCATACTAAATAGTATGCCACAAAAAAACAAACAAACAAACAAAAAAACACATAATATGTCAAATGCAGTAGACAAAGAAACACCCAGATGTCCTATTACATCCAGTTGAATTTTGCAGTATACAAGCCAGCATGCTATTCTGGCTATATTAACCCATAGTCCTCTGTACAGTTATACGACATATGTCATGGTGTCTTATAGGAGTATAGACAAGTTTAATAACTAAGAACTTTTTTCTTAAAAGTCTTAAAATAGAAAAACAAAAAGAAACAAAAACATCTGTGCTTTTTTGTATTTACAGTGCCCTCCGTAATTATTGGCACCCCTGGTTAAGATGTGTTAAAAGCCTTAAAATAAATTCAGTTTTTATTGCAGAAGCATACTCTCACACTGAAAACTGTAGAAAAATGTAACCTTCAACTCAACTCAGATGAATTGTTGGCCAAAGGGGGTTGTACAAAGTATTAACATCAAGGGTGCTAATAATTGTGGCACACATGATTTGATGTAAAAGAATTATTTTTTAATGTGGGATTTTTTTGCACACTGAATAAATGCACTTGAATTAAAGGTTGGATTTTCCTCTTTTTTTCATTGTGGTCCTATATTATTTAGAAAAAAACTGAATTTACTAGAAGCTAAAGAACACATCTTAATCAGGGGTGCCAATAATTATGGAGTGCGCTGTATAAAAAAAGTAAGAACAAAGAAGATTATTAAAATACTAATGTGTGTGGGTTTTTAAAAAAAATTTTTAATTCAATATTATTAATATATATTCATTTATATATACCTCTGAGTGAGTCAAAGCGATACTTACACAATCTTTTATTTAATCATTGAGCATGTTTTCTGAACCCTTGACAACGTTTATAGCTCGCGGTCACGTGGTGGGCTCGCGCACGCCTCCCTGTGTGATGGTATCGCAGGCTGAGCGCAGATGACGCAGTGAGGTCCAGTGAAGATGGCTCCCTTTCCGGACGAGGTGGATGTTTTTACTGGCCCACACTGGCGAATGAAGCAGCTGGTGGGCCTATACTGCGAAAAGGTGCGTACTAATAAATAAGGCTGGTAATTTTGTAGCTTTACAAAGGAATATGAGACAGTGTACGGCCAAAGGAGGAGTATACGCCAGCCAGCTAGCGCGCTAGCTAGCTTGTAGCACTGAGGATTGAGGCAGCCGAAGCAGCTCAACTGTCGGATGATTGTCTCACGACTAAATTGAGACCGTTTGGTAGATCAATGGTTGGACTTGTGGACGTGACGTTAGCGTTAAATAGAGGTATTTACTTAGCCAGCATTTTTGAAACACCTATTAGGTTGTTCCTAGTAAAGTTGTAACAGCCCATCCTCTCCCCAGCTAAGGCTTGCATTCTGTTTGTTAGCTTGAGTAACTTGGAAGACAGCTTGTTATGCAACATGTTCCAAGTGTTACCACGCAGTTTCTAATGTTCCAACAAACAGTGTTACATATGATATTGGGATTTGGGAACAGATTGTCAGATACATTTCTCCTTCTTAGACTTAGATAAGCTCATGTAACGACAACAGCTAATGCACGGTGGGTGTGCTAACGGTAGCTGCCTAAGTTACGGTACAGTGCTGTAATGTTAGCTGTCTGAGTTTACACTGTCTGCCATGTCCCAGCTGTTCTGTGGAGTATCAATTACTGTGATCTAATGCTGCCAGCAAGTAATATATATATTACAGTTAAAGACATATAATATTGTATAAAATACACCTAATAAAATTAAATATTAGAGTTAAAATCCTACATTATTATTGTTCATGCAATTTTGCCTCAATACTTTGACCTTTGTATTTAAATCAAGTCCTTTATACTACTATTTAATATTTCAATACATGTATTTTGTCAGGAAAATATGTATTTAATATCATATTGCATATTGATTTTAACTGTGATATTTAATATACTCAGGTAAATTCACATACAAAATAATCCTGCATAACCCTAATGTTAAAACATGCTACTGCAAATTGATGTTGTTTTAGCTCTGCTAGATAAACAACAGTGACATGCTTTGACTATCACACTTGTCTCAATGTAAATACAATCATGTTTTCTATAAATCGACTAACCCGTCTTGTTTGTTTTTACAGCTGTCAAAAACCAACTTCTCCAACAACAATGATTTCCGCTCGTTTCTTCAGTCGCTGTGCGCCACCTTCAAGGAGTTCAAGATGCATGAGCAAATTGAGAATGAGTACATTATCGGCCTGCTGCAACAGCGCTGCTGCACCGTGTACAATGTGCACTCTGACAACAAACTCTCAGAGATGTTGTCCCTCTTTGAAAAAGGACTGCACAACGTTAAGGTAAATACGCATAGGTACTTTTGAAATTGTTTGTTGTCATGCTATGGCTCTAAATTGAACTTTTAGTCACTTGTAAAAATGGTTCAACAGACTAATACTTAGCCTGAAGGAGAAATCATACACAAGTGCAGCTGCTGCATGATACTCAATAGTTAGGTAACACTCTGTCATTAGAGTAATGTTATGTTAGGTACACAAAGATTACATTACAAGCAGCAACATCAGAGTTGTTGTTTTTGATGTATACATTGTAATTGTAAAGGTGGGAAATTATGTTCTCTGTTTTTCATGTAGAATGAATCACGTAGTAAGACCTTTCTAGCATCCAATTTCATAAAATAAGTTAAAGTTAATTTTGTCAGAACTCTATAAAGTTACAAGTTCAGAAAAGGCCAGATGCAGAAGGTAATAGGCTGAACTGTGGAATAGAGGGTTGTTTTTGTGATCTGCTTAACAGGAGACAAGCGTTATTGTTCTCCCACAAGCTACAGGCAAACCAAAAAATGTTCTTTCTAGAATGATGCAATTGTGTAAATCTGAACATCCGCTCTGCCAGTTTGTGAAACAGAAAGGAACATTCTTTTGTTTTGGAATGAGATCCTGCTTCCTGTCCCAAGGAAAAGATGTTTTCCCTAAATAATGAAATAAAATAAATAGAAGTGTTCTGACTTTTTTTTAGACAGTTGGTTTATTTGTATTTGTTCTGAGAAATGTATAATTACCATGTCTAATATCCAGCTCCTGCAAAACTCTTCCTGAAATAATACCCTCAGAAATTACACAGCGGAACAAAAAAGAAGTGTCACATTCATTGCTTTTTGTTCACAGCAACGTACCGCATTTTACTGATGTGAAAATGAAGATTGTGCAACTTTTTCAGCGTTAACACAAATCAATGTTGATAAGTGTCATAAATCTGAACTTACTACTCACTACTGATTGTAAATTATATATGAAGTAGTAAGTGAGTCAGCAAGAGTTTAATTTTGGACACAGACCGTGCATTAATGATTGTTATGTGTTTCTAGAGTGAATATGAGCAGCTTAACTATGCCCAGCAGCTCAAGGAGAGACTGGAAGCTTTCACACAGGACTTTCTGCCACACATGAAGGAAGAAGAAGAGGTACAAGATACTCACATTTCTTTCTCTTTTTAATGTGAACATCTTTTAATTAACTGTTTTCCCAAAGAATGGGTAAGAGTAAATGATGTTCATGAACAGCAAAGGTAAAAACATAAAATACATGTATGTATCTGTTCAAACCCCAGTGAACTGCACTGTTCCGTTCCATGCCGTTTGTAAACTAAGGAGACTCATTGCAGGTGTTTCAGCCTATGCTTATGCAGTACTTCACCTACGAGGAGCTCAAGGACATCAAGAAACAGGTGATAGCACAACACTGCAGCCAACAGCAATGGGACTGTGCCGCAGAAGTGCTGAAGGGCTTCAGTTTGTGGAGCCAGGCAGAGGAGCTGCAAAAAGCCTTTAAATATGCTGATCACGAGAAGACAGATTATGGTTAGTGAATATTTTCACAAACTTATTACAAGCTGGTAGTTATCAGCTGTTTCTCGTACCTAAACCAAAGTTCTTGCAGGTGCAAACCGTACTGGAGCAGTATCGCTAGTGGTCAGTGTTGACAGTATTCATTAGCACTGATATAGTGGGTAATGAAGGTTGTGTCTGGCTCA